GCCTCATGGAGCTTGATGTTATCGGGCCTCCCTCAGTGATACCTGTAGGGAAGTAGATGCAGCAGAAAGATTGATGTTTACCCTGGGAGTAAAGGATAGAGGAATTGGGCTCAGTAAAAGTTTTGCTTTCTTGCACTGTGAGATTAGTCTTAGGTTACTACATGCATGACTTTGTGTCCTTCCTCGGTTTGCATAGTGCCTTCCTACCTGGTGTAACTGTTACTCGGTGTGAGTAAGGGTGGGCAGAACTGAGACCTTTAAGCACCTTACTTGTCCCCACGCGATGCGTTAGCCGGGTAGACAAGCAGGGTGCATCAGGAGGGAACATGAAGTACGAGCTGGAAGGTTTGTTACCTCTGTTTGCGGTATCGATTAAGATCCTCTCTGGTTACAGTATCTTCTGAGGTTCACTTCAAAACACCTGATGTTGAAGAATTGGCAGCGATGCAGAGAAGAGCTGCATGATGGATTTAATAGTGCGAAGCCTTCCAAGGAGAGGCTTCCTCCATCTCACTTATGTGAAAGTCGGGGACTGATGGCGGGCTGAGAGCAGCGAGTGTGGGCAGCGATACCGGAGAGCGGAGGTCGCTTTCATCTGCCAGCAAGAGGCCTAATGAGATCAGATGCCTAGAAGCAGAAGCCGGACAAATTCAGCTTAGAAATGAGGTGCGGTGTTTAAAGCAAGGTTAATTAACTGTTGGAATAACTGAGCTGCGGTGAATTTAGTGCCACCTGAAGTCTACAGATCAAGCTAAAGTTACCCGACCCGATGCAGAGGTTTCTGGGTGAGGGCTGAGGGACCGAATTCAGAATCTGAACCGCGTTCTTTCCCTCTGGCTGGCCCGTTTCTGTGGGCTCACGGGGGACCTCGAGGAGACGGGGCACAGCCTGCGAGAGGGCGCGGGAAGCCCACCAGCCCTGCGCCTCCTCCCGCGGGTGCCCGCAGCCCGGCTCTCCGGGAGCAGGGTGAACGGAGGAATCCTGCGACAGCAACGTGTTAATATGATTAACGACAGAACTTAATTTGCACCGACGGTTCATTCTCGCACAAAGGAGCGCTCGCGAATTAGAGGCTTTGCGGCAGGCGAG